ATTTTGTTGGTTTTTTTTTTTTTTTTTTGGTTTGTTTGTTTTGCCCTTTTCTCGGTTTGTTTGTTTGCTGCCGGGTGGGACTTGTCGCCGCTTCTCCCCGCCCGCACCTTCGTTGTCGCGGAAGGGGAGCCCGGGCTCCGCGCAGCCCCCGGCCCCTCCGCGGGGCCTTTGAAGGGGGCAGCGGGCGCAGCGCGGGCGCAGCGCGGGGCTCGGCACTTTCCGCCGGCTCCCCGCGCAGCCCGCGCCGGGGGTCCCGGTGCCGGCCCCCCGGTAGGGGGTCATTCGCAATACGAATCCCCCTCCCACCGCGGAGCAGCCCCGGCCCGACGGGGCGCCCGGCCGCGCTCGCTGCGCGCCCGAGGTGCGAACGCGCTGGAAGCGCCGCCGCCGCGCAGGCTGCGGCCCCGCGCCGAGGTGTTAACGGCGTCTGGGCCCCCCCGGCCCGCAATCCACAAGCGAAGGGCAAAGAAAGAGCGGCCCCCCCGGCCCCCAGACCGCCCCGCGCCCGGCGCGCTGCCCCGCGCCGCTCCCGCGGGCTGCGCCTTGCGGCAAATACGAACCCGGAGGAAACTGTGCTTAATGTTTATTAGAGCGCCGCTAATCAGTGTGCCGCGGTTCAAAGGGGGAAGCCTGGACGGCCCCGCTCCAGTGTTTAATTAATCTGCCCGCAGTTTTCCCGCTGCCCGCACCACCTTCCCCGCTCGCACGCGGCCTCCAGGCAGGTATTGGGTAGCAAAGGGCGTTTTGGTTAATGCCGCGGAGCCCGTGGCCGCGCTCACCGCGGCGCGGCCTCTCTCCCCGCAGGTGTTTCGGGACCAAGTGCGCGGGCTGCGCCCAGGGCATCTCCCCCAGCGACCTGGTGCGCAGGGCGCGGAGCAAAGTGTTCCACTTGAACTGCTTTACGTGTATGATGTGTAACAAGCAGCTCTCCACCGGCGAGGAGCTCTACATCATAGACGAGAACAAGTTCGTCTGCAAAGAGGATTACCTGAGCAACAGCAATACTGCCAAAGAGAACAGCCTGCATTCAGGTGAGGGGCGCGGGGGCGGCGCGCAGCCCCGCGCAGCTCCGGCTCCGCTCCCGCCGCCGGGGCAGCCGTTTCCCCCCCAGAACAAAGCGCCCTGCCCCCTGCGCGGGTCGTTTTCCTCCCAAAACAAAGCGCCCCCCCCAACACACACACACACACACACACACATAGCCCGCGGGGCTGCTCCGTCGCGGGGCCGTCCTGGTGCGTGACCCGCCGCTTTTGCTTCGCGCAGCCACCACCGGCAGTGACCCCAGCCTGTCCCCCGACTCCCAAGACCCCTCCCAGGACGACGCCAAGGACTCGGAGAGTGCCAACGTGTCCGACAAGGAGACGGGCAGCAACGAGAACGACGACCAGAACCTGGGCGCCAAGCGGCGCGGGCCGCGCACCACCATCAAGGCCAAGCAGCTGGAGACGCTCAAAGCCGCCTTCGCCGCCACCCCCAAGCCCACGCGCCACATCCGCGAGCAGCTCGCGCAGGAGACCGGCCTCAACATGCGCGTTATCCAGGTACGGCGCAGCGCCGGGCGGGGGGAGCGCGGGGCCGGCACGGAGCGGGGCCGGCGCGGAGCGGAGCGGGGCCGCGCGGGGGGTCCGCGGCGGGCCGGACCCCACGCAGAGCCGCGTGTGCCGCCCCCTGCCCCGCTCAGACCCGTCCGCGCCCGCCGAGCGCCCCGGCAGCACGGGCTGCGCTTTCTCCTCTTTCCTTTTTTTTCTTTCTTTTTCTCTTTTTTTTTTCTTTTTTATTATTATTTTTAACTCCGCTGAAAGCCGCAGACAGCATCCAAATTAATAACCATAAATGCGAGGGGTTAATGGATAAATAAGAGTGACAACGCGCTGAAATTATTAAAAGGTTTATAAACCCGCGGCGCCGGGGGTAATGGGGGGTTAAAGGACCATTAAGGACGAGGTTAGATTGGAGAGTCTCAGTGTGCGGGTAATTAGGAGTAATCTTGTCAGGGCAATAAGAATTAACTCAATCATTCTTGACCTGCAGCCGTGAGCGGCTTGTGCGGGGCCGCGCGCGGGGCCGCCGCGTTCGCGGGGAACAAAACCCAGGAGGGGAGGCGGGTGGCGCGGGGGGCTCCGGCCGCCCCTGACGGCCGCCCCGTCCCGCCGCGCCAGGTCTGGTTCCAGAACCGGCGCTCCAAGGAGCGGCGCATGAAGCAGCTGAGCGCGCTGGGCGCCCGCCGGCACGCCTTCTTCCGCAGCCCGCGCAGGATGAGGCCGCTCGTGGACCGCCTCGAGCCCGGGGAGCTCATCCCCAACGGGCCCTTCTCCTTCTACGGAGGTGGGTACCGCCCGGCGCCCGCCGCCCCACGCGCGCCAGCCCGGCCCTTTGATGTGCAAATGCCGCCCCGCTTTGAAGTGCGCGCACACGCCCGCGCGCATGCCCGCCGGCTCCGCGGGGTGCCCAACGCTGCCCGCTCAGCGGTGTTTTGGGGTTGTTTTTGCACATGCCCGCGTGCAGCGTTCCCGCTGTGCCCGGCTGCGGCGTTCCCGCTCGGCTGCGGGGCCAGGCGCTTCGGTGGCCGTTTCCGTGCCCTGATTCCGTGCCCCGATGCCGCTGCCACGCTGGGGGGGCCGCAGGGCTGAGCTCCGCAGCCCGGCTCGAGCCCGACCCGCTGCATCGAGGCGCGCGCCCGCCCTGCCGTGCCTTACCCTCCCGCTGTGTCTCCTTGCACGCCAGATTATCAGAGCGAGTACTACGGCCCTGGAAGCAATTACGATTTCTTCCCGCAAGGACCTCCCTCGTCCCAAGCGCAGACGCCGGTGGATCTCCCCTTCGTGCCCTCCTCGGGGCCGTCGGGCACCCCGCTGGGGGCCATGGACCACCCCCTGCCCGGCCATCACCCCTCGAGCGAGGCTCAGCGCTTCACTGACATCATGTCGCACCCGCCGGGGGACTCGCCCAGCCCCGAACCCAACCTGCCCGGGTCCTTGCACTCCATGTCCGCAGAGGTTTTCGGCCCCAGTCCTCCGTTTTCCTCGATATCCGTCAACGGCGGTGCTAACTACGGCAATCACTTGTCACATCCACCGGAAATGAACGAAGCGGCTGTGTGGTAGCTTTAAAACAAACTGGGTCTAAGTAAGTGATGCTCATCTAGTCTGCTCGGTGTCACGGTGTACAGAAACGAACACGTAGACCATCTCCCGCCCTAAGACCCTCTTCCCTCGGGAACGAACTGAACCCAGCTCGCTGCAAGGCAAGCTTTGCTAGAGACCAGGACAATCGGCACCTGGTGGTTGTCACGGACAGACGGACAAGGGGACCTTTTGTCCCGTTGACAAAGGACCTGGTGAAGCTGTACGGTACCGTGCCGCCGTGCCCTAGGGTGGCGCAGGCTGGAGCGCCCTGGTGGATGTCATCCCAAGAGCCACAATCCTTAGAAACTTCTCCTTTCAAAAGCTAAGAATTGAAGGGAAGGTCAAAGAGAAGGGGGAAAAAGCTTCAAGAACTCTAGCGTTCCCGGTTCAGGATGATTCTGGCGTTTGAATTTGTTTGTTAATTTATGTCTCTCAAAGTTCAACAAGAAGAAACTCTTTTTAGCTTCAGCCATTTCAGCCTGCTGAATATCAGGTGGGACAACTTTCTTTTTCCTTTTTTCTTTTTGTTTTTGTTCTTGTTTTCCAAAATAGCAAATACTAAATGTTAAGCCCTCAGCACCAACTCTTCTACCTTCACAAAGCTACACATACAAAACCTCCTCATCCTAGCAAAGGTCACCAACCAGACCTCTAACGCAATGACTTGAAAAAAGCAAGCAAACACAAAGTATTCTACCTTCACAAAGAGAGAGAAAAGCTAAACAAAAAGACTCTATTGAACTAAAAACAGTCAACTGTTTACGTCTAATGTTAAATTCAGGAGTTCAATGTTTTACTAATAAATCCTGTTTTAGAACCTCTTGTTCAAAAGCAAAATATTTTGAGCAACCAACCAAAATAGTTCATTTTCTTTTCTGTAGGTGTTATAACAGATTGCAGGGCTTGTGGTTCACTGTGCTAGTTTGTAAAAGGTGTTGTTTACAGAAGGCAAAGAAAAAACATGAAACCCAGACAGTTGCCAAATAAAGTAAATATATAGCACAAATACTGTAAGGTGCTTCGCACCAGCAACCCAAGAAAGTATTTAAAAAAGTGTTACAAGGTTTAAAAAAAAAAAAAAAAAAAAAACAAACAAAACATCTTTGGTAATTTTTAGTCCTGTTGAACATTCATGGAATTGTTAATATGACTTATATAGACCCACACAGGTTTTATTTTTGTGTCTTTAAAATAAAAGTCCAAAATATTTAAATTTTATGGTCAAATATGCAGTCAACAGCTGCTACTTTTTCTTTATATATTAAATTTCTCATATGTCTTTTATTGTTCTAATAAACCTAAGCTTGTGTGACCTCCAGTGCATATTAGACCATTCACTGTATGAAAGAAAACATGTTGGATAAAATTTGTGCATTTTTAATAAAATTAGAAAATCTGATGTTTAGATAACTTGTGTTTCATTTGATGTTTTAAGCAATTTTTAAATGGATTCTCTTGAGTAAAATAGCCCTGAAAAGAAAATTAGCCACTATATTGAGACTGTATATCTATTTTGCTTTGGTAGAAGTCTAAACCCCGTTGTCAATGCAGATAGCAGTTATCTGTAATTTCAGCTTTTTTTTTGTATATATATACACATTTGCAGACTCAACTGATAAAGTAGACATAATAATTTAATCTTATATTAAATTACAGAATTGGAAACTGATCAAATTATTAAATATGCAAGCTTATTCTAGGGCCATGATAAAACATACCCAAAATGATCATTTTATTTATAAACAAAAATGTATTCTGAGTGTCAGAAACGTGCAAATATGTGGTTTAAAACTGATCTATTTGTAGTGAAAATAATTCTCCAAAGGTAATTATTATTATTTTTTTTTATTGAATGGTTTGGAAGACGACATAACCTCAGTGTCGTGAAAGTAATGACAGTAATTCTAATCCTTTTTTTTTTTTCAGAGCTGGTACCATTGTTTTATAGCATTTGGTTTCTATGAAATTCTATGGAGGGCAGTGGAGAAGAATATTTTGCTTTGCACTAGATACTAATTTATTGCAGAAAAATGAAAAAAAACCTTGAAACCTTGTGCAATTACAGATTGTATGTTTTGATTATAAATTAATTGCAGCCTCCTGAACAGTCAAAGGCAAAAATCTTACTGATTCCAGGATGACTTTGACTCGTATTAGAAGTAAATAATTATTTCAGTTTTAAAAAGTCACTGATTTAAATATTTTCCACCTGCTGAGATAATAAAACAGGATGAACTATAATTGCATATTTTCCCCTATCTCTCAACCAGTTGTGACTCTGGTTTTTTTTTTTTTTTTTTTTTTTTTTTTTTTTTTTCATTTGAAGTAGGCACAGAAATTTGCTGTAGAAAAGAGACTTCTACATTCTCAGTGATTCAATTATTTATTTCTTCAGATTGAGGGAAAAAATCAAGATGCTTTAAAATTGTATGATTTGTAATTTCCAGTGATGATTTCTTATTTTGTTCGCAGCCTAGTTTGTATGCCCAGCAGAGGGGCCATCTAGATCAAGCAATAGTTCACTTTAAACACAAAAATGTCTTATATATAATAATATAAAGATAAAAACTATCTGCAAGGGATCTGTTAGTGTTTCTAAAAAAAAAATAAAAATAAAAAATCATGCTTTATTAAATACAGGGGAGACTTCTTAAAACTCACGGGCTCCGTGTCTAACTCATTTATCTTTTATATCGTTGATATGGTTTTTTTTGCTCTGTTTTGCATTTATACATGCAAAATAAGGGGAGATCTAATTATTCTAAACTTTTACTTACCTGGGCCAATGCTGTTTATAAATACTGCTCTCTGTGCTTCTTGCCTGTGCTGCTGCTCCTTTGTTGAATGGATTATTTTCCATGAGAATTTCTCCAAACAGGTGCTGTTTGCACCGATCCCGCCTGCCAACCCTTTCCTCTCTCTCCTTTTTTTGTTGCATTTTAATTTTGTTGTTTCTGTCCCGCGTTGTTTGAACAGTTTAGTCCGTGTTTGTTTGTGCAGAGGTGGGTGCCGGTGGCTGCTGCGGGCAGCCCGCGCTATTGCAGTTTATTTTGCTGTTTATTTTTATTTTTCCCAAAGAGGCTGCTGGCCCCGGGGGCCCGGCCGCCGCGCTCGGGGCAGCGCGTGGGCACCCTAATCCCGCCGCATTCCCCAGCACCCTAATCCCGCCACAATCGCAGCCTCAGCCCCCTTTGAACTGGCCGTGGCCGCGGCGTCCCGTAAATCCGTGTTTACAAGAGCGTTTCCCGGCCTCGGGGGGGTCTGCGGGAGAAGGGCCTCCCAAAACGCGGGGTCCCTTTCCCACGTGCATATTGTATTTTAAGAGCAGAAAAAAAGAGACGGGACGTGTGTGCAGCCATAGCTACGTGCAATGGTTTTCCAAGTGTGTTTTTAGAAGAATTTCCTCTCATTTGGTTTTGGTTTTTGTGATTTTTCCCTCGGCGCCACGGGCTCAGCACGGAGCGCCGGGCTCGCGGCTTGCCACAGCCCGTGTTCGGCACCAATTATCGCCAACCGCGAATAAAAGCACGAGGAGAAGATTGTGAGTATTGCATTAGGCTGCTCTAGGTGAAGGAGGCGGCTTTAAGGATGGTGCGAGTGTCTTTAAAATGCCCGGCGGTGCAGCGGGCAGCGGCGCAGCCTTTGGCACCAGTGGTTTGCATCCCGCACAGCCGCTGCCGGCATCGCTTTGCTCAGGCCTGTGCTTGGGGAACCCTAGGGATGTGTAAGGATCTGTATCCCAAGAGCAAGAATGTGCTTAACTGATGGTTTGTAGACAAATGATGTGTATTATTTTAATATGTGTATGTGCACCCAGATGCTGAGTGGTGGGTACGGGATACAAATCTATAAATAAATATAATTTAAAAATATCAGTGGTGATTTACATACTTTTGCCATTCTAGGAAGTGGCAGGTGCTGCAGGGTCTTCTCAGGGAAAAAATCCTTCTGTCGTAGCCTGGAATTTCTCCCTGAGCAGCAATGCTTTATTTAAGCTTTGCATGTTCTTGCAATATTATATAGATGAAATTGCAATCTCCCTTTCTCTTACCGCCCTTGTGTGTGGACTAGTATGAAAATTTGGTACATTAAGATAAGCCATTGCTATGTGTCCTTAAATTCCGACGGTGCTGTGCAGCTGTGAGCAGGAAATCAGCAGGCGCGGGGCGGCAGAGCTGACGTTGGCCAGGTAGCTGAGGAAGGGATTTGGAAGGTCTTTTATTTGTGCCTGCCTCGGTACCGGGCTGCTCAGGAAAACTGTGACAGCAAAATATTCATGAAGCTCTAAGTGAAATTAATGGGGCCGTTTAAAAAAGACTTCAACCCGCTTTAATTATAAATCCTTTTGGGATTGCTCTTTCTCCTGCGCTCCTTTTGGAGCGGTATTTGTACTGTTTGCGTTTATACACCACGGGGTCCTGCTTACAAAGCTGAGTTAGTCGTTGCCCGGAGAGTTTTTCTTTTATTAAACACAGCAACTTAATACGAAAACTGGAGAGTAGCTGTGGCCTTGCAAGTTAGCTGGAATCGGTAGGATTCCTTTGTGTTTGGGGTGTAGCTGGCACCCCAGCAGGGCAGGGCGCTGCGAGGCCGCGCGTTTCCGCAGCGTTTGCCGCGGCGCGGGAGGGACGCGCAGTTCTCCTTATTGTGCACATCAATGGCCATTGCTCCGGAGCATCCCCTGCTCCGCGCGGAGCCGCGCCACTGCGCTCGCCCGAGCCTCGTGCCGCGGGACGCTTCAGAGCCGGGAGCTTCCCCGCTTTGGTGCGGTTCGGCGGTGTTTTTGGCAATCCTCAGAATTAGCTGGTTTTGCCACGGGCCTGCTGCAGCGCGAGCGTGGCGAGCGGGGCTGCCGGCATCGCGTGCTCTTTGCAAGGATGCGGTTAACGCTGGGGAGCCCGGGTTTGCAGCGTGGATCCACAGCGGTTCAACAACCCTCATTCCCACGTGTACGGCATGGGAACAGGAGCGCAACCCACATCGATAGACGTATAACCCTGCAAACACCCCCTCTGGCTTGCCGAGAACGGGGCACGCGCTTAGCTGCTGTGGGGAAGGGGGAACCGTGGGGTGAAAACGCCCGGGGCCGGCTGTGTGGAGCAGCTCGAGAGGAGAGGTGCGCTCGCCGGCACGGACGCGCTTGGCCCTCTCCTCTCCTCTCTCTGCGCGGGGTTTCTCCTCGCCTTTCACTCGCCCCTGGGCGGCCTTTCAAGCTGCCGCCTGCCCAGAGCATCCCTGGGCCCTGCGCCTGCTCCCGAGAAACACAAACACTGTTTCTGGCTGCGGGGACAAGCAGGAGCTGGTTAAGTCTTGAAACCAATCGAGATGTGTTGTGGAACGAGCGATGGGATATCACAAGTGCTTAAGTAAATACAATTATGGAGGAAAAATATTAATATATAAAAAATATTTACCTATAAATATATACATCTACTTTTCCTGTTAAGCTTTTTATTTTTATTTTTTTCATGGGGAAAGGGTTTCACTGTGTTGGCTTTTCTGCTCCCCTCATTGTATTTTCCCCCCTCTTTTTTTTTACTGAGAAATTGTGTTGTTAATAAATAAATAAATAAGAATGAATCTAACTAGAATTAAAAAGATTGGCTTGGTGGAATGGCATTCACTAGCCAAAATGCTGGAACAAAAAAAAAAAAAAAAAAAAAAACCAGACTTGCTGCACCCCGTTTTTTGGCTGTTTTTGGCCAGTGCGCTGGCTCACTCCGCGTGGGGCCAGATCCGTGGTGGTTCACGCGGTGAATCACCCCGCGTGGCTCTGCGCTCAGGAGAGAAGAAAAAAATGGGGAAAAAATGTTTGTTATTAATAATAGGTAATTATGCAGCCAAGCCAGGCTGATACGGTCTCTCGTTGATGAAGCCACCTCCAATCTGGCAGCTGCCTAAAAGATGACGAGCTCCACAAATGCGTCAGAGCAGCAAAGGAACCCGAGCATGTGAAATTAAAATACTTTTATATATATATATATATATATATATTGTACAGGCTATTCAAAGCTCGCTTGCTTATCTATTACATGTCTAGGGTGTTATTTTAATTTAACCAAATATGCATGTAAATAAAAAGAAAAATTAAGAAGAAAAATTATGCCAAAGAAATTATGCCGGTTAGTTTGATGACTTGTGCTTGCATTTTATAAACAGGCAGAGGGTTTTACAGAATTCACCCATAAAAAGGCTTTCATGACTGTCTTAAAAATTAAATTAAAATGTATTGATACAATTTTTATACAAATACTCCCCTGCACGGTTAGGAGTCCAAACCGCAGCAGCATGGTTGGAGGGCATGCGAACCAGAAATTAAAACCAAGTCTGTGAGGGTGATTTAATTATCCTGCTAAGTAAAAGGCACGAGAAGGAGCCAGCAGTGAAGAGGGAGCTTGTGCTGGTAACAATATTTTAACCATTCGTGAGTTGGTACTGTGGTTTTTCTGTTTGATGCTGTTTTATGGGCTCAATCCCCTAAAGAAAATCCATTGCTGAGCAAGGGCTGGGTGTTGCCCCCTGCCCATGGCTCTCGCTACCCAAAATTGGGGCGTTTTGGGGCCCAGACGGGCGCCTGGCTCCGTGCTGGCTGTGGCCACGCGCTGCCTGTCGCAGCCGCGCACGGGCACGCGATGTTTATCTGCGCACATTTGTTTTGCACTGATGTAAATGACTGATGCCGGGTAGAAAAACAGGTCCATAAGCTCTGACAGGACCCCTCATGTTTGCAGTTGTACAAGAATTTTAATGCATTGCTGCATTGGAGATTTATATCGAACAATAGTCCCATTAATCTCAATGGGGAGATTCTGATCTTGCTCAAGTGAGTGACAAAAATTCTGTTGACTTCAGGAAGCTGATTTTTTTCCTGAAAAATACTCGTGCAACTCACTGTGTATTTTTTATAAATTATATTGGGTACACTCTATATAACCATCTCTAAAAGCCTCTCTCACTTTATTGATGGGACTATTTATTATTTGTTAGGTTAGGACAGAAAACATCCCTTTTTCACTCTGGAAAGTGCAGAGTTTGAAAATGCAGCTGTGCATGGGGCTGTTGGCAGCAGCTCTTTGGTGGGCTGAGGACTTCCAAGTAACTGGTCAGGAAAGCACCTGTTTCTGCTGCTTAATTTTCTGTAGACTTATTTGTCCAGGCTCCTCCCTTCCTTTATTATGGCATATTTTATTCTGGAAAAACAAACAAACAAACAAACAAACAAACAAAAAGTCTACTAACCATAAAGAAAAGAAATAGGAGCAAGGCCAGGGAAGAACTATATGCATGTGCTTTTTTATAAAATTATGTCTTAGCATTGCTGAGTGCTATGTTGCAGCAGCAATGGCAAGCCGTAGTAGTATACAATGCAGGATGTTACAGCGCTCAGACATATTTGCAATAAGAAATTTCCTTTTTTTTATTCCTCCCAATTTTGAAAGAGGATTGAAAATGGCAGCATAAAATCCAAGGGTTTTGTCTGCAATGGAAACGTGCATTTTCAGCAAACATCAGTGCTTCTTTAAATACAAATGTAGTTGCATATCACCTTTATAACCTACAGAGTAATGCAATTTTATAGGGAAGTCGGGGCAGGTTTTGCGAAGGGCAGCGGGTCGGGAGGCGCTTGCTGCCCCGTTTTGCAGCGCTGCTGTGCGCGGGGAGCCCTAATTAACGATATTCCTCTGCCCTCTGTAGGACAAGCGGCTGCACTGAACGCGGCTGCGGGGCCGCGCGCCGACGGCGGGGAGCGACGCGCCGCGGCCGCCGCGGTGCCGGAGCCGCCGCCGCGCCGGGAGCGGGAATGTCCGGGCCCGGAGGGACCCTCTCGGGTGGGGGATGCCGAGCTCGGACCCACAGCGCTGATGCGGGTCCATTTTTGGTTGTGATGGATGCTCCATCTCCTGCTGCCCGGCTACTAAGGGGCCACCATGGGCCTGGGCTTTGGGAGGCCATGGCGGGTCTCATCTTTGGGAGGCCACCATGGGCCTGGGCTTTGGGAGGCCATGGCGGGTCTCATCTTTGGGAGGCTGCCACCTCCCGTGGTGTTTGGGCGGCCACCCCTGCCCTGGTGTTCTGAGGCCACCGCAGCCCAAAGGGCAGGCGGGAGGATGCGCTCGAGGCCAAGAGCCACCTCATTCCTTGGAGCGGCGGCTCCCGGGACTCCAACCCATCCGGGACAGAGCCGGTTCTGGCCCAAGGCCCCCCATGGCCACAGGAATCGTGGCCCTGTGGGTCTGGGGCCTTGTTTAGACACACATCACAGCACATTTGAGAGATGCGGCAGGAAACCGGCCCAATTCCGGGCATTTAGACTAAAATCACGGGAAAAGGGGGCACATTTTTGTGTCAGTAACTATGACATTTAGCACGGTGTGATTTGCCTCTCCAGCCCCATGCAGCCATGCCCGGGACTCGTGGCGGCGGGGCGGCCCTGCAAGCCCGGGGGGTATCGATCAGCAGCCGATTTATTCATCGCTTATCGGTGACGCATCGGCGGCCTCAGCGGGGCGCCCGGTGATGGCGGCGGGGCCGGGGTGGGCGGGGCCCTGGCGGAGCCCCGCCCCGTCCCGCCACGGCACCGCCCCGCCCGCCACAAGATGGCGGCGCCCATAGCGCTGCAGCTGCGGGAGCTGCTCGACCCGCGGCCCAGCCTCCGCGACCCCGAGGACGACGCGGAGGAAGGTGAGAGCGCGGGGGCCGAACCGAACCGGGCCAGGCCGAACCGGGCCGGGCCGGGCCGGGCCGGGCCGCCCACAGGCCGCTGCCGCACGTGGCGCCCCAGTGTGTCCCCGCGCGCGGCCTCGCGACACGCGTGGGCTCCGCGGCCTCCTCCCTCGCGGCTGCCGCCCGCGCCGCGGGGAAGCGACCCTAGCCCGCGACGCCCGCGCAGCTCCGCGCCCGCACCTCGGTCGGGTGATGCTTTTGGAGGTTTTTTTTGGGGTGAGATTTGCACTTTTCCTGACGCCACGTGGCTGGGGGCGTCATGGGGGGGACCGGCCAGGCCAGGCGGCCTCGGCCGTGAGCGTGGGGCAGACGCAGCCCTCCCTCATGTGAAGGGCTCCGTCCTCTCGCCGTGGGCGCACCCGCGAGGCGTGAGGAGCCTCTGCCCCTTATGGCCCTCACCGAGACCTTGGGCCTCCCTTGGGCCTCCCTTGGGCCTCCCTTGGGCCTCCCTTGGGCCTCCCTTGGGCCTCCCTTGGGCCTCCCTTGGGCCTCCCT